CATCTATTGTCAGCATGATTGACATCATGTTACCTAAGCTTGCTTCGTACCAAGAAGAAGCGGCGTCTACTCAAATCATCTTGATGGCCACCGTTCTCAACCCAAGATATCGATTGAAATTCTTTGATCTTCACTACGCTGAGCACGCCGACCGAGCCAAAGGAGGCATTGAATGTTGTTTCAACAAACTCCTTGATACCTGGCCAGTCACTCCTCCCGTTACCCCATCCGCCAAAACCACCAATTGTTCGAGTGACCCATTTGACCACTTTGACATTTTCACTGCACGCACTTCCACTGACAACTCGGCCAAGATCCGGGCTACTGAACTTGAGAAATACCTTCAAGGTAGCAACACCCAAACCCCGCCGCGGGAAACTGGGGCAGCGCTGCGATAGCGCGGGGCTCCCGCCGCGGACTCAGTCCACGGATTGACCACTGGGGTGAAAACCGCGCCAGGGCCCGGTTTTCACTGCGGTACAACCCGCTGCTGCCCAATTGACCGGACCCCAGGGGTAACCCTGGGGCGCAGGGGTTTGATGCCAAGGCGAGCTGTACTCACCTTTCAGCTTTGTCCAACACCCCTGACCTCATCAATCAGTATCAATCGCCATTAATCTGCCAAGATCCCTCCCCATTGGATTCACCGGATCAGCAGTCACCATGGGCGAATCCAGGGTGACCCCAAGTTGCGTTTTCTATACGTTTTTCTTTCAGATCGGCTTAAAAAAACTGACTAATTCCTTTTTACCCATTTTGTTCGAAAGTCTCAGTGGTCTTATCTTTCTTCGACTTCCACATACCTTTCCCCGTTTCAAACCAATCTCCACTTACCTCCATTACTTACACCATGCCGACATCCACTGGACCATCGACATCCAAAAGTCTTGCACCTCCATCATCAACCCCAGTTCGCCAGCTACGAAACCGTTCTCCACAGCAACCATCGCCCGGTTTTGTCTTAACAGGGTCAGACTCACGACGTAGGATCACGAGAGAGGGCAGTAACCCTGCCTCTCATCCTACTACGCCTGTCTCTACTTCAAAAGACTCTGCAAAACGAGGCCGGGAGGAGGCCAACGACGACGAGCCTGATCTGAACGTCACAAAGAAACGAAAAACAGTACCCAAGCCCAAGGTGAGTCCTCTGTCTTGCTCTTACTTTCCTCTACACGTGATCCTCATCTATGTTTTCTCTTTGGTTGGTGCGTTAGGGTACCAAAGACAAAGGAGTACCTACTGTGGTCAATGTTGATCAGGACTCCTCTGGAGACGAGAACGAGGCTGTTGAAACCCGACCGGGCCACCGAGGCGATGTCAAGGAGCTTATGAGGTACTATGGAGCTCCCAAGCATTACAAAGACGAGGTAAGTAGTTAACAATCTTTCAAATTGCCATCGAAACCATCTCATCACTCACTTGGTTTTGCTTCCCTTGTATAGACTGGGCCCTTCAAGCGCTCATACCCGTGCAAGTGGTGTGGTGAGTACTATACCCAAGGTTTCAAATCGAACGACAATCTCTATGGCCATCGAGATGGTGACAAGGACCGTCGACCTTGCCCCGGCCGTAAGAAAGCAATAAAATCTGGAATGAAACTGCCACCTACCTACCAAGAATTACAGAAGGCTGCTAATAAAGAGACCGCTGGGGGAAAATTTATGTCTGCTTTCATGGATCGACCTTCATTCAGTGTTCAGTTACTCAACGTCTTACTTATCTTATGGATCATCCGGCAAGCTCTTCCTTGGTTGCGATTCTCCGATCCAATATTACGAAGCGCCTTTAAATTAGCCAACCCATCTGCCGACATGCGATCCCCTACTTGGGCTTCCCAAACTGCTAAAAAAATCTACAAGTTGCTTCATGGTGAGGTTTTGCGAAAAGTAAAGGTGTGTCTCTTTAATCTATGTATCTATTTTCTACCATCACTTCAATTTCTCACACATCTGCTTCCTTTTATCTGTCTCTTGTTTCCACAGGCTAATTCCAGCCGTATCTGGTTAGTCCACGATGTGTGGACCACCCGAGGAAACCGATACGCTTTCATAGCGTTGATAGCTTGTTATATCGATGCCGATTTTCGATATCAGAGGGTTTTACTGACACTCAAGATGGTCGCTTGGAACCACTATGGAGCGCTTTTGGCGCGCCCGGTTGCTAGGTATCTAGTCCGTCACGACTTACACCATAAGATAAGTGTTCCCTTTGGTTATGTTTTTTTGCGTCATTTAGCTAATCTTTCATCACGATACTCACGTTTTAGGGCAAACGACCGACTCAGGCTCAAACAACAACACCATGGCAATTGAGATGGAGGTCATGTTCGCCGCCAGTGAGAAACCTGTGGAATGGGCTAGTTCCCAAAACCATGCTCGATGCTATTGCCACAAGTTGGCTCTAGTGGTGAAGGCCGGGTTAAAAGCATTATCAATTGAATCAGGACATTCAAAACCGACCACCAACGCCAATGTGGCTGTTCCCTTACCCACCTTTCAGCTTAACGACCAGGCAGTCGAGGTCGACGCTGAGTCAGCTGACTCGGATGAAGAAGAAGATGTGGACGAATCCAATCAAGGTCCAGAACTTCCCGAAGAAGAATTGTGTTCATCAGTTGAGAAGGTCTTAGCGAGCCATCCAGGCAATATTTATGCGACTGCAGTTCAAAAGGTAATTTCAAAGCTTAACTTGTTGAGTTGCCTTTCGAGAAACTGACCAATATGTTTTATCAGGTCGATACTGTCAGCAAAAAGATTGCTGGCTCTCATTCTCGTCGTCAAGAATTCAGGGGGCTTTGTAAGGAAGCCGGGTTGGATCACCGGACACCAATCGCAGGATACAGCATTTGTTGGAATGTTATATACGACTCTCAAAAGCGCATGTGCGCTGCACAAGAGGTGGGTAGCATATTGATTGCTTTATCTTATCGAACCTTTTTAATTGAAACCTTTTGTATCCTCACAGATAGTTAATAAGATGCTCGCGACTGATCGCAAAGGTGCACAGTTTTTCAAAGGGATATTGATACATGCTGATGAATGGGAAGCAATCGAGGCACTGAATAGCATATTAGAGGTATGTGGATCAATATCCTCGGTTTGGTTATAATATGTTTATTTCTAACATGTTCCACAGATTTTTGCAATTGGAACCAAACGCATGGAGGGGGACTTTCCCTCGGGTGCTATGGCTCTTGTGGAATATCACCGGATCAAGAATTCACTCAATGAAGCTCGGAAGAAGACAAAATCAAAACCATTAATAGACATGGTAGGTGTAATGTTAGACCAGCTTCACCTATACGTCGATGAAGCACTTTGATGCAAGGCACTTGTCTTGGCATCAATTATGCACCCACGATATTGTCTAGCGTTCTTTCAAAAGGCCTATCCGGATCACAAAGACCAGGCAACAACTTGGCTCAATGAAGCATTTGCTTCTGCGCTGAACACCGCCCGAAAAGAATCAGACACCACTCAATCACAGCCTCTGCCAGATGTCCAACACGATGTTGTAGATGACAATGACTTCAATGAATTTACTGCCAGCTCCAACACCAATCCAACACACTCGGCACAGGAAGGTGAACTAGAATCCTACTTGATGGGTCACCGCGAATTTGAGAAAAATGAGACTGCACTCGATTGGTGGAATGTGAGTCCAAAAGATTCCTCATGTCACCTTTCAATAAAATATGATTGACCTTTTAATATGTTTGTTCTAACAGAGAAACGAAGCTATATTCCCAGTACTTGCGACAATGGCACGAGACTACTTGGCGGTTTTGGGCACCAGCTGCCCGGCTGAGCGCGTATTCTCTAGCGCAGCCGATATTTGCACGCAAGATTGTGGTGGGCTCCTTCCTTCCACAATGAGCAGGTTGGTTTGCTCACGTGAGTGGTTAAAGGATTGCATAGACCCAGGAGGTGAGTATGGTACAGCTATAAAATATATTACCACATACTTGGAAGGCGAGGATAAAAAGAAAAAGAAAGGATTCATAATTGTAGATTGAGATTAGTAGAATAGCTTGTGATTGCTTTATAAAACGTTTCTTTTTTGGTATTAAATTTTTTTGTCCTTCGGTAGGTAATACAATGTTTTTTTACCTTTGGCCCAAAACGACCGCAGTGAGGTGCCCTGCGGCGCGCTGCGACCGTTTCGAGCGCGCAGCGACCCCAAAGACGATTTTTCCTGCGGTAGCGCTGGGGTGAGTTTGGCTTTCCACTGGGGTCGATCCCGCCGCTGGCTCCGGGAAGCTGAATTCCCCCGCGCTGCGGCGGGGTTTGGGTGTTGAAGGTAGCCATCCTATCTTACCTGGTCAATCTGAACTCATTTGGTGGAGGGTAAGTTTATATTTTCATTGAATCATGTTTGAGTAGGAGTTGACCTGAAACACTTTCACAGGAACATGCTCCGGACTTCCCAGTTTTGGCTTCACTTGCTCGTGATTATCTATCGATCTCCGCCACCTCTTGTTGTGTCGAACGTACCTTCTCATTGGCAGCTGATGTTGCTGTACCTGCACGAGGTTCTCTCAAGCCAAAGGCAATCACTATGGCTGTTGGCTGTAGGGAGTGGCTGTAAGGATTGGGTTACAGTATGGGATTAGACAGGTTGACTTCTCTATACTCACTATCAGCCCTGGCTCCACGTTGGGTTCTCTTCTCTTCACGAACCCCGACTGGAGCTAGGTAAGAGTCATTATCATCACTCTCATATTCATTTATACTTGTTCTGATTGTTTCGCTTCTCTTCACGAACCCCGACTGGAGCTAGGCTAGCGAGCTTGTAATGCAAACAAGAGTTCTAGAATAGTTTTCAGTGGTTAAAGTCCACCGTGAGAGTTCCCGAGAGTCTAGTGAAGGTTCTTTTACAGAGAACCTTACACTTTTTTATTCTATTTCTCAACCTTATTCTTCTTTTCACTATCGTGTGATCTCTCTTGACTCATTATCTTGACACCTTGACATTCCATCACCAAATCAATCGTCGATCTTATGCCATTCAACTTACCTGCCAATTTCTCGACCAATCCCAAAGCTTTTCTTAGAAGATATAGACAACCCCAATCCGTCGATTCACCTCCTGCACCAGCGCCTCCACGTTACAACTGGCAAGTAGAAGGAGAAGACGTGGATACGCCTAACAAGACAATCTGTACAATTTACCCGTCGTCGTCTCACACTCTAGCTGCGTCAACTGAACCTGATCCAACGATCACACCCGATAGGCACATAGTTCGCGAATTTTTTGATCGAGCAAATCTATCGACGCCTCTGGTACCGGGAAGCTTCATTCACACGCCGATGCAACAACCCCCAGCCGGATCGTCGCAAGGTATTGGTGGGATCGCGGCGCTGGAACCCATGTCTCGAGACGAACTCGTCGAGACTCTACAAGCAAAAGTTGAAAGCTTAGAACAAGAGAAGTCGGAATGGACTGCAAAGTTGGAACTAGCCGCCGCTGACCGGACCCGTATCGATGCGCTCGAATTGACAATCTCCCAATTACTGACGGAACGGTCTCCTGGTACAGCTCGTAGTACAGGATCTAACAACCCCTTTGCCTCGTTTCGAAATCAATTATCGACTCCGACCCCAGCTGCCCCGCGTGATCATAGAGCCATCAACACGGAGATCGCACAAGCGTTAGTTCAATCATCTCCCGTGATGACTCAGCAAGATTCACCGATTCGAAACGCATTCATACGGCCAACGGAAAGTGTACAACGAGAACCGCGTCGTGTTTCATTCACGCACCTCATGGATCCGGAGCTGTAACAACCAACGGTACCGTCGAGAGCACCTTACAACGTGCAGTCCGCGCTCACATCCAAGTACCTCCCTTTCGTACACAACCGGCCGAAGTCCAACAGAAAGTCAACAAGGTTTATGCAAGCGATCTTAAGTTATCTGAAATCCCTAAGTTCAATGGACCATCGGAAAGTCCCGCAGCGCTGTTTAATTGGCGTAGGTTAATCGAACAATACTTCGAATTGAAAAACGTTTCCGACCATCGACAACGGTTCATCATCTTGGGTTCGGTAGTGGTTGAACCACGAGCAGGAGCATGGTATACGAACTGAGCAGGAGCATGGTATACGAACTCACGTACCGATCTCATGCATGAACTGGCAACAGAAACCTTACCGACTGGATGGTTAGAAGAAACAGAGAAAAGCATTCGGCAGTTACGAATGGGGATTAATGAAGATTTCAGGTTTATGTTGGTAGAGCTCGTGATCTATACAATCTAGTACAAGTCAAGACATCTCTTACACCCAAGAATCTGGCGGAATACATCGTGTGGGGAACGCCCGACATCTTCCAACGATGGGTCAGAGATCGCCAATTGCTGCAAGTACCGGACTTCAAACTCTTACCATTCATCGCGCAGGCAAACAACATATGGGATTTAGTTCTGGCCAGCAATCTCCTCCCTCGAGTCCAAAACCGTCACTCAGTCAGTATCCACACGCCTACACCTCGTGGAACGAACGTCACCAACGCACCTGTTGGCCGATCAATGGAGGAACGCGCCGATCAGGCGTGGCGATACCATTCATACATGAGACATCTGGGACTGTGTGGTGTATGTCGAACGGCGTGTGGGAAAAGCGACTGTCGAGGCCCGGCAAAAGGACCATACGTGACAGTTCCTGGTCTGGACGTCTTCAACCCTGGACCTCGTCCATCGCGTCGACAAGATGCATCATCAACGAACCCATCACGCCAGTCGAACGCGAATCGTCTCCCATTGGCGCCGGGCGCTCCAACGTCTAGACCTGCGGGCCGACCACAGAATCAAGCACCTCTTGTCGCCAGCATCAACGAAGCGCCTGATTTATTTACTCAAGACCTTGCACGTTATGAGGAAGCTGACCGAGTATTGGTGGCTCACTTGGCGAATGAGAAGGAAGACGCAAGGTGTGTCAAGAACCCTGGTTCTCATACCAAATCCATCATCCTAAAGCTGAAAATTAATGGTGTTGATGTTCGGGCGCTCATTGATTGTGCAGCGGAAACGAATCTGATGGCGGATCGACTATCAAAGCAAGCCAAAATTCCACGCCGTCGACTAGTCGCGCCAGTTGAAGTGCGATTGGCAATCGACAACAAAGAAGCTCAACCGTTTTACTTCACGGAATTTTGCTTTGCCAACGTTTCGTCATCAGAACCACCATTACGTTTCGGATCCACCTTCTTCAAACTCGCACCCTTAGGAGAAAATTTTGATGTAATTCTGGGGACCCCCTTCTTAGAGAAATTCCACCTTGATGTATCTTTGCATGACCGGACTGTGAAGCATGTACCTTCAAAGACTATCCTTAGGGAATCTCAGAATATAGTCAATGAGATCAATGAAATAAAGAATGAAATGATATCATGTGTTGTTGAAAATCTGAAACAAGTTCAAGACTCGAGAGACTTGACTGCTCGAGAAGAAAGAGTCCTGAAGGAGTTTTCTAATTTGTTTCCAGACGAACTACCCCCAGTAGAATCTGAAGAGGAGGATGACTTTTTCCCTCCTGAAAGTCAAAATGATTCCTCAAAAGTGCGTCATAAGATCATATTGACAGACCCTAATGTGGTCATCAATGAGAAGCAGTACGCTTATCCACAGAAGTACTGGGGTCCATGGCGAAAGTTAGTAGACCAGCATTTGGCTGCAGGTCAAATCAGACGGTCAACAAGTCAGTACGCGTCCCCTTCGATGATCATTCCGAAGAAGGATCCCAACGCGCCGCCATGATGGGTGTGTGATTATCGCACACTGAACAAGTACACAGTGAAGGACCGTTCACCATTGCCCAATGTTGACGAGGCAGTGCGATTGGTGGGGAAAGGAAAAGTTTTTTCTGTCATTGACCAAATCAATTCTTTCTTCCAAACAAAAATGCGCGAAGAAGATATTCCGTTGACAGCAGTCAAAACGCCATTTGGGCTCTACGAATGGGTGGTCATGCCAATGGGCTTAACCAATGGACCAGCGACGCATCAGGCACGTGTGGAAGAAGCTTTAGGTGAATTGATTGGTGGTATCTGTGTGGTATACATCGATGATGTTGTTGTTTTTTCAGATTCTGTAGAAGAACATGAGGCCCATGTCAGAGAGATTCTGAGACGCTTGCAAGCAGCAAAGCTGTACTGCTCTCCATCAAAAAGCAAACTATTTCGACGCAAAATCAACTTCTTAGGTCATGAGATAAGCGCAGATGGAATTTGTCCGGACGAGCAGAAGGTAGATAAAGTTACCAAATGGTCGACACCAAAATCTCAAAAGCAACTCCTTCGATTTTTAGGCACAGTCCAGTTTATGAAAAATTTTGTAGATGGATTAGCTCATTATGTTGGAACACTATCACCATTAACCAGTACAAAGCGTAAAAATGAACCTTTCAAATGGGGAAAATCAGAAGACCAGGCATTTGAGAACATCAAAAGAATAATGACAACACTTCCAGTATTAAAAACCTTAGATTATGAATCAGAAGACCCTATTTGGCTTTTTACGGATGCTAGTGGACACGGCTTAGGTGCAGCGTTGTTTCAAGGCTTGGAGTGGGATAAAGCGTCACCAATTGCTTATGAGAGCAGAACAATGACACCGGCAGAAAGAAATTACCCTGTCCATGAACAAGAACTTCTGGCAGTTATCAACGCACTTCAAAAATGGCGTCTCTTACTCTTAGGCTTGAAGGTTAACGTTATGTCGGACCACCATTCACTCACTCATCTCATGACGCAACGTAACTTAAGTAGAAGACAGGCCCGTTGGTTGGAAACCCTTTCGCAATTTGACCTCGATTTCAAATACTTGAAAGGTGAGGATAACACTGTGGCCGACGCTCTTTCAAGAATTGAAGACGTAGCAGCACTCGAGGTCAAGTCAACATTCGATGAACAAACTTTACAGGACATCAAGACTGGCTATGACATGGACCATTTCTGCGTACGGCTTTGTTCGACACTGCCGCTACGGGAAGGGACAGAGGTGAAAGACGGCCTTATCTTTCTGGACAATCGTTTAGTGGTCCCAGACACTGACGGATTGAGACACCAATTGATCACGCAAGTTCATGAATCACTTGGACACCTAGGAACACTGAAGACCTTACTGCAACTTCGGAGCGAATTCTTTTGGCCCAATCTCACGACTGATGTCAAGAAATTCGTAGCTTCATGTGACACTTGCCAACGAACAAAGGCGAGGACGACTCTGACCTCCGGACGAATGCAAACGAGCGAGGTTCCACATATCCCGATGGAACACATCGCGCTAGACTTCATCGGCCCATTTCCTAAGGTCAAGAATTATGACATGCTCCTGTCCATTACTTGTCGACTCTCAGGGTTTGTTCGTACTGTTCCAGCCTGCCAAACAGACACGGCCGAAAGGACTGCTCAACGAGTTTTCAGCGCTTGGCTTTCAATCTTCGGGGCACCTCGTACGATGATAGGTGACCGAGACAAACTCTGGACGTCTTCGTTTTGGCAAGAGCTCCATCGACTTCTTCGCATCGATGTGCACCTGACGACAGCATATCACCCTCAAAGTGACGGTTGCAGCGAGAAATCAAACAAAACCATTGTTCAGATTCTGCGCCAACTTGTGTCTTCACGTCATGGCAAATGGCTTGAATCGTTGCCATCGGTCGAATTCGCAATCAACTCCGCTGTTAATGTCGCAACCGGTGTCTCGCCATTCGAGTTTGTTTATGGCCGCAAGCCCCGGCTGTTCCCAACCAACGCACTTCCAGTGGAGACGAGTCCTAGTATCGCGAAATGGATCGAGAAACGGCAATCGCTGTGGGCAGAGACACGTGACCGTCTTTGGACTAACTGGATTTCGCAAGCAGTACATTACAACAGTCGACGACGCGAAGGTGACACATTGGCCATTGATGATTGGGTTTTAATTGATAGCAAGGACCAACAGCAGGTTGTTGGAGGAGCAGGCAGACCGACTTCAAAACTTCGACCAAGATACGATGGACCATACCAGGTCTTGGAATGCCTCAACGACGGTCGGAACTTCAAGTTAAGGCTCAGCAGCGAAGATAACTCACACCCCGTGTTCCACATCTCCAAACTCAAGAAATACCGAGGGGAAGGACATGAGGATGAGAAGGAAGGGACAGGCAATTGACCTGGGTGTCAAAGTAAGTTCCCACCATTATTAGTATGCACCGCCGAAGGCTACATCCCCCAAAAAATCTTTTCAAAAACAACTCCTTGGCCACGCCCGTGAGCACCGCACAACTTTGTATTGTTTCACTTTTCAGTAACGAAACTATCACGAACCTGGAGCGGAGGATCAAGCTCGACACGGCACATTTTGCGACGTCAAGGATTCAAACAAAAACACCTTTTTCTTATTCACTTTTTAGCGGCAATTTCAATTTTTTTTTACATTCAGTTCAGTTTCAATTTTTTTTAGTTTCTTTCAATTTCACAAATCAGATGGTTTTTAAGGGCGAGTCATGCCAATTTTTTTTCTTTTCTTTTTTCTCTTCTCTTATGAATTTTTTCTTTTCAACAATTATGATGGATACATGGTATAATTAGGTGGAACATAGAATTTTTTTTAGGAAGGGAGGGATGTAAGGATTGGGTTACAGTATGGGATTAGACAGGTTGACTTCTCTATACTCACTATCAGCCCTGGCTCCACGTTGGGTTCTCTTCTCTTCACGAACCCCGACTGGAGCTAGGTAAGAGTCATTATCATCACTCTCATATTCATTTATACTTGTTCTGATTGTTTCGCTTCTCTTCAC